CTTCATAAACTACCAAGCCTCAGGCATTCCTTTTTAGCAACATAGAATCAGCTAATACACTGGCTTTCACAATAATATAAGAAAGACCAAATTGGGTTAAATTCAATATTCTGTTTCCAAATGGTGTGAAAGATCATGATATACCCAAGGATATCAAGTTCAAATTGTTCAGAATATACTCTAGAACATTGCTGGCTTTTCTTCATAATTTAAAAACCTTGATCTAATCCTTTATCAGCCTTCATCTCTATAGACTAGAGTTCAAATTATTAAAGTCAATTACTTTATTCTAAATTCTTGATAGGGACTTTCCTATAAGGTAGTATGTTTCCCTAGTCTTAAATTGATAATTTTAATTTTCATCATTTTGTAAGTAAGACATTTCCTTACTTAGAAAACTTTAACTATAGTAGCAGTGCTAAGGCACAGTTGCCGTAGAACTGTAAGACATCATAAGAAAGGGGAACTTGGAGATTAAATGCAACTTTCTTCTTTTATAAATGAGGAAGCTGAGACCTAATGCTGAGAAGCAGTTTCCTACAGTAAAACAACTGAAAACCTAAGGTAGATCCATCAGAACAGTGCTCTTCAAACTGCAGATCATGACCAATAACTTAAATGGGTTAATACCAGCATTTAAAAAAAGCAACAGAGAAGAAAGTGTCAGAGGCATTTCATGTAGTGAGAATAAATATTGCTTCATGTCACTTTTGCTTCAGTGACATGCATACAAGGGGCAACCCCCCAAATCCAGAATTATCTTTTGGAGAGCAGGCCCCTTGCAGCACAGGCAGCCCCTGCTATGTAAGTTTCTAGGAACCCATCAGCATCAGTGTACCAGGTAGCGCTGTTGTGAGAGGCCACATTCTGCTTCAGTGAATTTTTCTGAGATTCTTTCTACATGTTTGCCCATTTCATGATGGGTGATTTACATGAACAACCTGCCGGCACCAAGCTGAGTGTTCAGCAGTTTTTTACCCACAATGGCATGACCCCCATGCCCCACTCTCCCTGTTCACCCAATCTCACCCCAGCAACAGTTTCTCATTTCCCTGGATGAAAAAAGTCATCAAAGGAAAACATTTTGCCCATGTGGTAAAGGTGAAACAAACACTGGCAGAAGCACTAGAAGGCCACAATTGATGAGTTCAGAAACTTTTTTGAGCAGTGGAAAAAGTGACTCAATAGGTGTATTGCATCCAACAGAGAGTACTTTGAAGATGACTGAAGTCTAAACATGTAAGAATAAATATACAATTTTTTACAAATTTTTTTTTAGTTTCCTCTCATATACTAGATTGTAATGTAAAATGCATTTATTACAGTCAAAAGTAATAGTCAAAAGTTTGGTAGTCATTACAATAAGATATCTAACTTCCTGAATGGATTTTAAATTTTATTCTTCTTTTAAAATTATAATTATAGGGAGGGAGGGGCATACCTCATCAACAAGGGTACCTGCATAATCATCATTTGTATACCTAACCCTGAATTGTACCCCATATCTTTATAATAAAAAATTTTTTTTAATTACAATGATTAAAATTACTATTGAGATGTCATTATTTATTATGCTTACACATTGTAAGCTAATAAAAATATCTCTGCATTAAATACTAAATGTTGCCATTTAAAAGAAGCCATTTTTTCTCCTTTAAAAGATTGGTTCTGAATGTCGTACCCTAGACCATATGTGAACAGACTTTCATTAAAATATCACATTTGGCTGGGTATGGTGGCTCATGCCTGTAACACCAGCACTTTGAGAGGCTGAGGAGGGAGGACTGCTTGAGTCCAGGAGTTTGAGACCAGCTTAGACAACATAGCAAGACCTCATGTCTACAAAAAATAAAAAATTAGCCAGGCGTTGTGGCGTGCGCTTGTAGTCCCAGTTTCTCAGGAGGCTGATACAGTCACTGCACTATAGCCTGGGTGACAGAGTGAGACCCCAACTAAAAAAAAAAAAAAAAAGTCACATTTCTGTAGAGCTTAAATGTGCAACAGCCTTTTGAAATACCAAATCCAGTCGGGCTCGGTGGCTCAGCCTGTAATCCCACGCCTTTGGGAGGCTGAGGTGAGTGAATTGCCTGAGCCCGGGGGGTTCGAGACCCGCCTGGGCAGCGAGACCTCATCTCCACAATAAATTAAAAAATCAGCCAGGCATGGTAGCGTATGCCTGTAATTCCAGCTACTCGGAAGATTGAGGCAGAAGGATCGCCAGAGCCCAGCAGGTCGAGGCTGCGGTGGACGGGAGTGGCCATTGCACTCCAGTCTGGGCGACAGAGTGAGACTCCAACTCAAAAAAAAAAGAAATGCCAAATTCTAGAAGTGTGATCCTCAGTACAGGTCAAAAAAAAAAAAAAAAAAAAAAATCAGTCTCTGTGAAAACACAGTGACCTCTAGTGGATTCATTAAATAACACTGGCATAATCCCCGCCTTTAAGAATTTAAAAATTAAGGAAACACTGATACATCCAGACATAAAAGATACTGAAATGGCTATAAATTGACAAGTGCTATAAATGATTAAGGGCTACGGTTACACTGCACAATGGGATAAAGGCACATTTATGGATTATTCATTAGCTTCTTCTAATCAAGTGGAATATGATGAATAGAATCCTGGTCTCATTCAGAGTCTCTTACCAGTTTAAGAAATACGCTTAATCTTTCTGAGCTTGTTTAATGAGGGGGTTGGATTAAATCTCTCAAAGGACCCTTTCAGCTCTTTCATTATCATTCTTCTTTAATTAATTTTGTACACCAATAGCAGATTAAGTTCTGCTTCAAAACGTGATGGCCCTCCAGTACTTAAGGATTTATCAAATGTAGCACAGCCCCTTGTTACTTACCCATCATTATCTTCTATTTTTTCTCAAAACATTCCCTTTATTTCAAGTGTGCCAATATTCAATATCCTAAATCCACTCCAATGAGTTTATTTTCCTACTTTTGCTTACAGTTTCTCATTATGTAAATTATAACCTTGCTAATTTACATTATAGAACCTCATTAAAGTCAGTACAAACTTGTTTTACTCATGTACTTGTTCTGCCATCCCAGTGACTGTTAAACTCACTGGTTGGGTTTTATATGTACGTGTGTGTATGTGTGTGTGTTGGTAGCCTGCCAGATAAACTCACACTGCACACTTTAAATGTAAATTAAGTTAATTAGTTTAGATTAGGGAAACAAAGGCCATTTTCATCTTTCCTTTTTACTGAGGTAAGGAAGGAGAAAGGTAGAATTTCAAGAACCCCAAATATGGTCAGACATGGTGGCTCTCATCTGTAATCACAGTACTTTGGGAGGTCAAGGCTGGAGAATCGCTGAAAGCCAGGAGTTTGAGACCAGCCTGGGAAACATAGCAAGACTCAGTCTCTAATAGAAAAAAAAAACACCCACAAATTTAAAGTGACAGGGCTTCAAGTTCTGGGAATACACGGACGTTCTGAACATAGGATACTAAGATTTTAGGAAAAGGTTAGAGGGAAGACTTGTTTTATAATTAGCTAAAGAAGTACCAATAACTAAGCTTGACAACAACAGATGGCAGGAAAGGTAAATGATTTGAAGCACTGAAGTAGACATGAGAATGGCACAGAGGGATACATTTTAAGAAGTAAAGAGGCCGGGCTAGATGGCCCAGCCTGTAATCCCAACACTTTAGGAGGTCGAGGTGAGTAGATTGTCTGAGCCTGCAGATTTGAGACCAGCCTGGGCAACTTGGCGAGATCCTGTCTCTACAATAAATTGTATAAAAGGTAATCTAAAAAAAAAAATTAGCTGGGCGTGGTAGCGCACGCCTATACTTCCAGCTACTTGGAAGGATGAGGTGGAAGGATCACTGGAGCACAGCAGGTTGACGCTGGAGTGACCGTGAGTGTGCCACTGCACTCCAGCCTGAACGACAGAGTGAGACTCTAACTCAAAAAAAAAAAAAAAAAAGAAGTAAAGAAAATATCTTTGGAAGCAAAGTTAAGGATTACTTAAGGAAATATTGGTCTTAGTGGGGGAATGGAAAACGTTGCTGTTGGAGAGCTGAGGAGGCAATGGGCAGTTCTGGTGAAAGAAATATTAATAATCAGTAAAATTGATATTAGTTGAACTCAGATTGGTATCATATCACCTTATGCATCAGATAAGACTTTAAGGTGTTTTAGTTTTTTGGGGTTTCTTGGGCAGAGATCTCTAGTTAACTTGCATCTTATTACTCTTATGTTTAATCTTATGTTAAATCATTATGTTTATTTAACATAGATCCGGCTTTACCACAAATAATATTGCCTTGTGTTGTTATAATATACTCTTTCAAATATGAATTTATTTGGGGCATAATCTCATTAAGCCTTTGTTTGGAATTTCTAGGAAATATAGTTTAGTTATCATAGCAATAATTTTATTACCTTTGTTATGTTATTATGCCATTTCACCCTCAATAATACATTTTCTCAACTTTAACATCTAGTAAAATATTGCAAATGTTTAAATATTTCTCAAAAGGCAAAACCCCAGCAATGCCCATATACTTTTTTGTAAAAAAAAATGACTTTTTAATCGGCTACCCTAAAAATTATAAAATATTGTGCTGATTTTAATAAGGATTAAATGAATTAGTAACCTGAACTTTTAACCTTCCTTACAAACAAAATGAGTTCACTTGGATGCCAAGACCCAGTATCTTCTGAAAAAGTTTAACATTCTTACTCCAGGATTGTTGTATTAATAGGATTCATACACATAACTGGCATAGCATGATGCCAGAGTTAAAGTTCTGGTTTTGTGATTTATGTTAAATAAAACAGCAAACAAATTAACATTTGTATGTATGAATTTTCTGATTTTAAGTATAAAATGCCTAAAATATAACCATGTCCCCATAATTTAATTGTATAAAAGGTAACATTCTACCGAAAACTAGACTTATTCTCAGCCTATTGCAAGCAGAAATAAATATTAGCATATATGAACAAATGTGTATACATAATGACTTACGTTACCTTTCTTCTTCTCGAACCCATACTGGAGTTTTAGGAATTTGTGCTTCGAAAAACTTAGATGCTTGGTAACAAAAATTGCTGCAGAAAGACTGAAAAGAACATTATAGACCTAGTTACTTTTCTTATTGTGACGCATAACCTACATACAGAAGAAAGTAATAAAACATAAATAAGTAGTTCAAATAATAAGATGAAAACCTACAAATCTACCACCCAAGGTAAGACAAGGCACAGTCTCTGAAAGCCTCCATGTGCCCACGGCAGCAGCAGCATCCTCCACACACCCGGGAGGTTGTCAACTTGGTGTTAGTCATTCCCTTGCTTTTCTTTAATTTTACCACCTATATACATATCCCCATAAAACATACCATTCAGGCCAGGTGTGGTGACTCAAGCCTGTAATCCCAGTACTTTGGGAGGCAGAGGTGAGAGGATTGCCAGGAGCCCAGGGGTTCAAGACCAGCCTGGACAACTTGATGAGACCATGTCTCTACAATAAATCACAAAAACTAGCCAGGCGTGATGGCATGCGCCTGTAGTTCCAGCTACTTGGAAGGCTGAGGTGGAAGGATCACCTGAGCCCAGCAGGTTGAGGCTGCTGTGACAGTGAGCGTGTCACTGCACTCCAGCCTGGGCGACGGAGTGAGACTCTGATTAAAAAAAAAAAAAATACCATTCAATTTTGTCAATTTATGTTTTTAAGGTTCATTCATGTAGTTGCAGCTTATTCATTTCACAGTGTATTATTTCCAGTGTGTTAGTATATTCCACTTTACTGTTTATAGACATTTGTTTGTAATTTTCTTTATTATCACTACAGTGTTACTAGGAACTTTTTACAATTACATTTCTTAAGTCGTGGTAAAAATGCACAGCATAACATTTACCATTTAGTCATTTTTAAGTATGTATATGGTTCAATGGCACTGTACCTTAATGCTATTGGGCCACCATCACCACCATTCATCTTTAGAATACTTTTCCTTTTACAAAGCTAAAGCTCTACACAATAACTTCCTATTCCCACCTCCAAAGGTGATCACTCTACTCTGTCTCTATGAATCTGACTACTCTGAGTACCTCATATAAATAAAAGCATATAATAACTGTCTTTTTGTGCTGGCTTATTTTACTTAGCATAATGTCTTCAAGCTTCATCCATCTAGTAGCACGTGTCAGAATTTTCTTCTTTTTTTTAAGGTTTTCTAATAATATCCCATTGTGTGTATCCCTTTGTTTACACAGTTATACACATTCCTACACATATATACAGTGTACATGGGTAAGAATTTGTTTAAGGTATATACCAAGGAATATAAAAACTTGGTTATAAAGAATGTGTGAAGCTGACTTTACCAAATAAATGCCATTTCTCAAAACTGTTGTACCAACTTTTATCGTCACCAGCAGTACAAAGAGTTCCTAATATTATCAGATGCTTATAATATTGCTACCTTGGGGGCTGGGAAAACATAACACAATGTGTTTTCTATTTGCTATTTTCCTGATTACTGATAAGATTGAGCATCCTTTTATTAGTCATTCAAGTTCCTTGTGAAAAATGTTTTAAATTAATTTATTTTTTTCTTATAGATTACATGTTCTGGATATAAATCTGCGGGCAGTTATATGTGGGAAACAGAACTTCTGATTTGTGGCTTATCTTTTCATTTTTTTCATTTTTTGGGGTTTTTTGTTTTTTTTTGTTTTTAAAGAGACAGGATCTCACTCTGTTGTCCAGGTTGGAGTAGAGTGGCAGGAGCATGGCTCACTGCAGTCTTGAACTCCCGGGCTTGAACAATCCTCCACCTTGGCTTCCCAAGCAGCTGAGACTATAGGTGTGAGCCACTACGCCCAACTAAATTTTGTAATTTTTTTTGGTAGAGATGGGTGTCTCCCTATGTTGCCCAGGCTGATCTCAAATGCTTAGCCTCAGGAAATCCTCCCACTTTGGCCTCCCAAAGTGCTGGAATTACAGGTGTGAGCCATAGTGCTCAGCCAAGTTTTATATTTTAATGTAGAAATGTTTATCAGTTTTTCCTTCATAATCTTCTATCTCAAGAAAGTCTCTCTACCCTAAGTTTATGGTATCCTACACTGTCTTCAAAAAGTTTACCTATTATATTTAGGTCTTTAAACTACCTAAAATCAGTCTTTGTATGCAGACTGAGATAGGGGTCAATTTTTATATTTCCATCTGGATAACTAATTGTACTAGTACAATTTACTGAAAAAAATCCATCCTTTCTTCACTGATCTACAATACTCCCATTGTCTATATCAAGCATCCATATATGTAGTGAGTCTGTTACTGCCTCTTTACTCTGTTCCATGATTTACTTGCCTAGACTTTTACCAATATGCACTTTTAATTTTTAAATATTCAAGTCTTAATTAAAGCTTAAGCAAATACATTTTTTTTTTTTTTTAGAGATGGGGTCTTGCTATGTTGCCCAGGTTAACATGTATATATGTACAGGTTAACATGTATATATATGTTAACATGTATCATCTTAACCATTTTTAAGTGTACAATTTAGTAGTGTTATATCTTCACTACTTTTAATTTTTTTTGGCTTAACACTTTATATAACAACTATTCAAAGGTCTGGTTTTAAGTTCTATGTATTTCAATCCTTTGTTTTCATGACTGTCATGACTGCAGCTGATTCTTCAGTGAATCAAGGTGCAAGTGGGGCTAGAGATAGACACTGGGTTTATTATAACATCCTATCTACTTTCATGAATATTTATTTTTCAGTTTTTTTTTTTTTGAGTTGGAGTCTCACTCTGTCGCCCAGACTGGAGTGCAGTGGCCGCTCCCGGCCACCGCAGCCTCGACCTGCTGGGCTCCGGTGATCCTTCCGCCTCAGCCTTCCGAGTAGCTGGAATTACAGGAGCGCGCTACCACGCCTGGCTAATTTTTTGATTTATTGTAGAGATGAGGTGTCGCCTGCCCAGGCGGGTCTCGAACCCGTGGGCTCAGGCAATCCACTCTCCTCAGCCTCCCAAAGGCGTGGGATTACAGGCTGAGCCACTGAGCCCGGCTATAATCTGCATCATTGCACTTAACAAAACTAGTAATTTAAAATTCCATCTACCAAAGCTTTTATTAAAATTGAGCTAATGAATTTCTATCTTCCCTGTTATCAGTTGTTCTTGCAAACTAATCAGAAAGTATTGCATTTTGAAATTTTTAACAAAAGAGTTCATTAAGACTTGTTCAGAATTTTTTTTTTTTTTTTTGGTCGGGGATCTCACTGTCACCCAAGCTGGAGTGCGGTGGCATGACCATGGCTCACTGCATCCTCAACCTCCTGGGCTCAGGCAATCCTCCCAACTCAGCCTCCCAAGTAGCCAGCAAACAATTTTTTAATACCTTGACTGAAATATTTACAAATAAAACCAAACTTTTAACATGGCTACTTCCTAGCAGGTAATACTTTAAACAGTTATTTTTAAAATTCTACTTAGTATCAATAAAAATGTAACTGTCACACTGAAAATAGCCTTTAAACTTACCTTTCTTTCAGTAATATCATAGACTTTATTGGTTTTGGTAGAGATTTTATATTTCTGTTTTGGTACCTAAAGAAAAGAAAGTACAGCTTACAAAAGAATTCTAGTGCTAAACATGAATTTTATAAGATTAAGTCATCTACATATCATATATTTGGTCAACCCATGTCATTAGTTCATGACCTCAGGTTTCATTTCTTGTTCTTACCACAAAGCATTTTGCTATTTTTTTTAAAAAGTCAATATGAAAAAAAAAAATTAGTTACTCACAATTCCCAGTCTCTTCTGACATAAAGGATAACCACAGAGTTTGATAATAGAGCGTTCATCCACAACATCGCTGTAATGAGCAGGCGTGATGAACTTCCCCTACAATGAAATGAGAGGAACATTTCCTCCCAGATTAATAAAAAAATTCATTAATCAGCTCTCTTACCTCATTAATCTCATATGAAAACACAGGGATAGTAATAGTACCTGCACTTCATAAATCTGATGTTAGAATTAGAGGAGAAAAGTAAAGCACCCAGAGAAGTGCTTCATATATATAGTAAGCATTAAAAAACATTAGTCAATATTAAAAACAGAAACAAAATTTCTGCCACAGTAAACTATGCATATCTGTAGATTATACAGCTTATGAAATAATTCTGAAGCAGGAGGAAGAAGTGGTGCTATAGCTATGCCGAAGCTAAATGATGACAGCATCTTTTATTTTTAAAGTATTATTGAAAAAATAAACTAAATCACAGAAGTAAAAAATACAATTTTACCTATTTTTTAAAGCACAATCTCTAAAAACAAAGTATTTCAAAAGTGTCACTATGACTCCTGAACAAATTTTGTGCAAAAATCTTCCCACTTCTGAAATAACCATAAAGAATGGTGAGGTGATGGTTAGTTATAAGCTAACACCAAATATTTCCCTTTGACATTTTCATGTTTAAATAATCTCAGCTCATGTTTCATAACTTTGAGATATTTTTGAACAAGGTTTTCTGTTTTCCCAGGGACTGAAACACTTTTTACTGAGAGTGATATAAGTTTTATGTTTTATATGAAGCATATTTGATTTGTCTTTGTCTTCTTTGGGGTTATCACATATACAAATTCTGATGCAGTTACCTATATCAATTTAAATATTGTCATGTTCACATTCCAGTTTAGGGAAAAAATCTCTGAACCACACTAAGAATTATTTTTCCTTAGAAACTCCGAGTTTTGCTTTTTTTCTCTTAAGGACTATAAAACTGTTAAAAAAAAAATTTTTTTTTTTTTGAGTCTCACTCTGTCGCCCAGGCTGGAATGCAGTGGCACACTCACAGTCACCCTAATGTCGACTTGCTGGGCTCCGGTGATTCTTCCACCTCAGCCTTCCAAGGAGCTGGAACTATAGGCACACACTACCACGCCCAGCTAATTCTTTTTTTTGATTTATTGTAGAGACAAGGTCTCACCAAGTTGCCCGGGCTGGTCTTGAACCTGCAGGCTCAGACAATCCACTTGCCTCGGCCTCCCAAAGTGCTGGGATTATAGGCTGAGCCACCAAGCCTGACCTAAAAATTTTTTTTATAAAGATTATAATTTCTTGTTTTATGTTAAGTCACAAACTATTTATTTTAAAGGTTTTAAAAATATCAAAATTGATGGAATTACATTAACAAAAATAATAATCTTCTGTTATTTAAAACAGCACAACACAGAATACAGAAAACTTACAATGTGATCACAAGTACAAACAAGAAAATCGAGTGATATTAGCAGATTGGTTACAACTAAGGGTAAAACATACTTGTTCTTCTTTTTTCTTGGTCATTGACAATAATTGTAAGTATTTATGGGGTATTAAGTGATGATTCAACACATGTACACACTGTGAAATGAGCAAATCAGACTAATTAACATATCCATCACCCCATATATTTATAATTTCTTTGTGGTGAGAACACTTAAAGTCCACTTTTTTAGAAATTCTTAAACATACATTATTAACTATCGTCATCTTGATGCGTACTTGCTATTCTTCATTAGTATATTTAAATTTAAAGTCATTATACAATAAGGATTGCATGATAGTTGCTCTTTTAAAATATATGGATATAGCATATTACCTGCATTACCTGAGAACAGATTCAAAGATGTTAGTAATGCAAAGTTTCATGTTGCACAGATTTAAAGATGTTATATTACAAACTAACAATCTGTCAACTTAACACATACACATTCCATTAAGAATTCTTCTGTAATATTTTTCTTCTAAAAGCTGTTCAACAATACGTAGAGCTTTTCTCTCAAACTCAATCTTCTTTCTCACAGCTGCTTCTAGCTCTGCTTTCCTAAAATTTGAATGAGAGAGTTAATCTACTTTTAAGCCTCATGTCCAATATTCCATGTCATAAAAATACAACACTAATCTAACTGACATATTGCCACTTTAATTTACATTTGCTAACACTATTACTTTGATCCAATATTTTTCAAAAAGGAAACAAACTACTTGTTGCACTGTATATATAGAAGTCTGTCATACAGGATTATTTCCAGGGCTCAGAGCACAAGGAAGACTCCCACAGAAATAAAAATGAGTTGAAATTTTGTTTGCCATTTTAGCTCTTACTCTATCACTCCCTTGTGTATCTAAACAGAGAGGGTTTCCTTTGATAAGGAGCCAGAAATCAGCACAGATTAGAGGGAAACAAGATGACTTTGGCTGTTCTTACCAAATACTAAAAGTTAACTTATGTTTCAGTTTAACAGGACATAGTCATATTTGCAAAGAAGTGTCTAGTTTTGTTGTAAAGTCTTGTCAAATAACTATAATGATATGAATGTGTGGTTTAGGAAAGTAAAAATCTTGCCAGGAGGGCCTGTCCTTGTCACCAGTGGGACTCCTGTCAGCCTTTGCTGGCCCCTACAGATTAAGGAACATAAAACCGAAGGCTGGTTGGGCGCAGTGGCTCCCCCCTTTAATCCTACCACCCTGGGAGGCAGAGACAGGAGAACAGCTTTAGCCCAGGAGTTTGAGACCAGGCTAGCCAACATAGCAAGACCTCGTCTCAACAAAAAGTCAAAAATTAGCCAGGCATGGTGGCATGGGCCTGTAGTCTCAGCTACTTGGAAGAGTGAGGTGGAAGAACTGTCTGAGCCCAGGAGGTCAAAGCTGTGGTGAGCCATGAGCGTGCCACTGCCATGTCCAAGTACCACTGCAAGTTAATTACACTGGGGTCTCTGAGGATGGAGCCTGGATATTGGTATTTTCTTAAAAGTGCCCAGATAATCTATTCCACAAGGGTGAGAATCACTGCCACAGGACCAAAGATATTAATCATCTTGGTGACTTATTCACACCATTTCTGTCTAGCTTCTACTTGCTTATCAGAACTACCTATTCTGACCTCCTGGACCTTGACCTGGCTCTCACATCTAGACCTAGAATGTACTCATCTTTTCTTCCTATTGACTTTCGAACTATAGAATTGCCTAGAGCAGTATGTTTTACAAACAGTTTGGTATACTGACACAGTTTTGCCAAAAATTTATTTTGCCAAGTATGGACATTAAAGCAAGGAATCTAGCAACTAACACCTATTCTTCCATCAGTCCATAAAAGCCTTTTTTTTTTTTTTTGTCAGAGTCTCACTCTGTTGCCCAGGCTGGAGTACAGTTGGCACGCTCATGGTCACCTCAGCCTCAACCTGTTGGGCTCAGGCGATCCTTCTGCTTCAGCCTTCCAAGTAGCTGGATCTACAGGTGCGCGCTACCACCCCCGGCTTATTTTTTAATGTATTGTAGAGACAAGGTCTCACCAAGTTGCCCAGGCTGGTCTCAAACCCCTGAGCTCAGGCAATCCTCTCACCTCAGACTCCTGAAGTGCTGGGATTATAGGCTTGAGCCACCACACCCAGTCCATAAAGGTCATTTTTATAGTAAAAAAAGTATATGAGAGGGAACCCAAAAAACCTAGAATTTATTTATTGAAAATTGTGTATTTATTCTTACATGTTTTAACTTCTCTCACCTTCAAAGTACTTTCTGTTTGATGCAATAAACCTATCAACACACTTTTTTCACTGCTCAAAACAGTTTCTGAACTCATTCATGTTGATGCCTTTTAGTGCTCTGCTGTTTTTTTGTTTCATCTCTTCCACATGGGAAAACATTTCCGTTTGAGGACTTTTTTCATCCAGAGAAACACAAAAAAAGTCGCTTAGGGTAAGACTGGGTAAATAGGGAGGGTGAGGCATGGGAGTCCTGCTGTTTTTGGTCAAAAACTGCTGAACACTCTGCAGGGTGGGGGCAGGTGCACTGGTAAATCATCCATCATGAAATGGGCAAATGTGTTGAAAGAATCTCCACAAAAAAAGAATTTATCATAGCCTGGGCGACAGAGTGAGACTCCAACTCAAAAGAAAAAAAAAATTCACCATGCCGCCTCTCATAATAACACTAGTTGGTATACTGATGCCGATGGGTTCCTAGAACACTTACTAGTGGGAAAAGCCCTCTCCTTGTAAAACATATAAACACAGGTTAAATGGCAGTTCTTTATACTGAATACATTTAGCTTCATGAAAACTCATTATCTTATTTTTCTCATTCTGCTGCCTACCAATAAAAAGTATATCCTGTACTAAGATCAGTACACAGTCCATACTAAGGAATAGCTGATTCAAGCCAACTACCTCAACTTGCAGTAATAGCCACACTTCTCACCTAGAGCTACTTTCTGGAGTAGACAGCCTTGTCTCACTGTTGCCCGCTGTCCCAAATGACAACAGGCAGCGTGATATATAGGAGCAGTTCTCGTTTCTGTCTTAGGACTCCTTTATACTCTTAAAATTAGAGATTTTGCTTACATGGATTATATCTGTCAATATGTATCACATTAGGATTAAAACTGAGAATGTAAAAGCACTTGTTAATTCATTTAAATAATAACCTATTACATGTTAATATTTTAAATGAAAAAAGTCAGTGAGAAGAGTGGACTTGTTTGCATTTTTGCAAGTTTCTTCATCGTCTGTCTTAATAGTATTCAGCTAGATTGAATACAGAAGTATTTTTCAGTGGGAATAAATGTATACAGAGTCACGCTGTTAATAGCCATTTGGTTACTCCTATGGATTTTTTTTTTTTTTTTTTTTTGAGATGAGGTCTTACTATGTTGCCCAGGCTGGCTTCGAAATCTTAGGCTCAAGCGATCCCTCCATCTCAGCTTCCTGAGTAGCTGGGACTACAGAAGGGTGCGTGCCTGACCTCCCAGAGATTTTACTTTTCATCAGAAGAATCAGATCCCCATGGATTTTTAAGTTTTGATATCTTGGGTGATCTACTTAAAATACATTTCAGCTATCTATATTCCTCAAATTGTAGGAAATATAATCTTCCCAGATGTGTGGTCAGATCAGGGTTGAGGAGAATTGCAAATTATCATCAAAATCAATATTAATAAACTTAATCATTTAATACTTCCTAAAGTCAAGTCTGTATAATCATACTGCTCCACAGAGAAATATTACCTAAAACAGATCTCAAATCCATTTGGTTTTACCATCTCTAGGTGATCACTATCCCTAACATTTTTTTTTTTTGAGTCAGGTTTTCACTCTGTAACCCAGGCTGGATTGCGGTGGCTCAGTCACAGCTCACCACAGCCTCAGCCTCCTGGGCTCAGGCAATCCTTCCTCAGCCTCCTGAGTAGTTGAGACTACAGGCGAGCACCACCACATCTGGCTAATTTTTTCATTCTTTGTAGAGATGAGGTCTCACTATGTTGCCCAGCCTGGTCTTGAACTCCTAGGCTCAAGTAATTCTCCTGCCTTGGCCTCCCAAAGTGCTGGGATAAATCTCAGCACTCCATTACTTAAAGTTCTCCCAGTTGTACTCAGAAAATGTAAGCTTCTCATCATAGCCTACTAGGTACTATATGAACAGAATTCTTCTATGCTTCTTTCCTCCTCTGTTCAGAATATTGCACACCACCCTAGGAGTCTCCCCTTTCATTGAATTGGCCAAGTGTTTTCTTGTCTCAGGATCTTTACACAGTCATCTCTGGCTGGAGGTCTCTCCTTACTACTCTTTGGTTAACACCCACTTAGCCTTGAGGATTCAACTTAATTAATACTTCCCTGTAGAACCCACAGCCAACCTTCCTGCCAGGCCTAACTAAATTGGACTCCTGTTATTCCTCCTTATAATGTCATGGTCTTTTCCTTTATAGCACTTAACACAATTTGTGATTCTGTATCTATCTGTGCTAATTAACCAATTAATTTATTATTATTATTATTATTATTTTTTTTTTTTTGAGTTGGAGTCTCACTCTGTCGCCCAGACTGGAGTGCAATGCCACTCCCGGTCACACAGCCTCAACTTGCTGGGCTCCGGCGATCCTTCCATCTCAGCCTTCCAAGTAGCTGGAACTACAGGCACGTGCTACCACGCCTGGCTAATTTTTTGATTTATTGTAGAGATGAGGTCTTGTCAAGTTGCCCAGGCAGGTCTTGAACCCGTGGGCTCAGGCAATCTACTCACCTCGGCCTCCCAAAGTGCTGGGATTACAGGCTGAGCCACTGAGCCCAGCAATTTATTATTATTGAGTTGGAGTCTCACTCTGTCGCCCAGGCTGAAGTGCAGTGGCACGCTCATGGCCACTGCAGCCTCGGCCCACTAGACTTAGGCGATCCTTCCTCCTCAGTCTTCCAAGTAGCTGGAAATACAGGCATGTGCCACCACGCCCAGCTAATTTTTTGAATTATTATAGAGACGAGGTCTCACCAAGTTGCCCAGGCTGGTCTCGAACCCCTGGGCTCAGGCAATCCTCTCACCTCGACCTCCCAAAGTGATGGGATTACAGGCGTGCACTACTGCACCCAACTTGACTCATTATTTTTACTTCTCTGTTCCACTGGACAAGAACTGTGTATATTCTGTTTAACACCATATCCTCAGGGCCTAACATAGGCCTGAAATATCTTATACTTAATAAACAATTTTTGAAAGAATGAGTAAATTAAGACCAAAGCCAATATAAGATTAGCGAGTCTTCACAAAAGAAAAAATCAAAGCCATATACAAATATATTTTTAATCTCCTTCATAAACTACCCCTATTCATGACATGAGATATCTTGCCTTTTTGGAACCAATAAACATTACAGAACAGCTTTTGATAAAAATCTGGACTTGATGTGACAAAGAAGAGAAAAAGTTTCTTGGAGTGTTGAGAGAAACATGGACAGCGAGTCTCTGGCATATAAAGCAATAAAAGGAGAGTGTACTTGAAAAGGTGAGAAGGGAACAACCTGTTTGATTCAGGAATGCTTGTAGAGAAAGAATTTGTAGTGCTTCCCAGATCTTCCTCTTCCTTCTCATAATAAATTTCTCTTTAAAAAAGAAACTGCTATTGTTTTATAATTGGCTCAATTGCTATGAGATAAATAGGTAAGTGAACGCAGTTGTCCAAGAAGTTCTTATACCTTTTAGAAGCATCTTCTTGTTTTGAGGTACTTTTTTGTTTAGTACCTGCAATAAAAAATAGTACAGTCATGAGCCACATAATGACAAGTCCATAGACGATGGATGCATATTCACAGTGGTCTCATAAGATTATAATGCCATATTTTTACTTTTCCTGTTAGATACATGAAATACTTAACACATTGCATCTGCCTGCGGGTACTCAGTACAGTCACATGCTGTGCAGGTTTGCAACCTCGAAACAACAGGCTATACCATATACCATATGGCTCAGGTGTGTCGTAGGTTGACATCTAGGTTTGTGTAAATACACACTATGATGTTTGCACAACTGTGAAATCGCCCGAAGACACCTTTCTCAGCATGCAGCCCCGAAGTCAAGCCTACACCAACACACTAGGTACAGGATAGATTCCTGCCCAAACTGCAGACCATCTTTTCTTCTTGTCCACACATTTTATTTCCAATCTTGTGTGCAAATCAAAATGAAAACAGGGAGGGAATCAAATTTGTTTGCAAATTATTACTCTCTGATTTTTTTGGTTAAAATGCATCTCTCTGGGGACTGAATTTTTCTCCTCTATCATAGTTGCTTAGTTGATTAAGCGTGTCTGAAAATCTGAAATTTGGGTGACTTTAGGGACACCTCTCTTCGTCCCCTACATGTTCACTCTCGGGGTCGGAGGGAAGGGAGGATCCGGCACTAAGCAGACTGGAAGGAGGGCAGGTCTGGGCCGCTGCTCCGGCCCCTGCCCGCTCTGGGGACCCCAGCTCGGGGCTCCCAGCACCTCCCTCCTCTTGGATGCTGGGGCCACAGCTCCCACTCAGGGAGGTCCGGTCCGAGGACGGCGGGGCTGTTCTCGGCCTTCTCCACCGCGGAGAAGCCCGGCCCTTCAGGAGCGCCCGCGCGCCTGGGTCAGGCACTTGGTCGGGGACCAGTTCTCAGGGTGCAAAAGCGGAAGAGGCCCTCGATCTTACCTGCGGCGTTTCGAGAGGGGTGGGGAGCCTGGACCTTTCGGCCGGGCGAGCGCGGCGGAGGCCCCTCAGCCATGGGGCTCGTCGTCGGCGGGTCGGACGCCCGCTCTGACGTCAGCCCCGAGGCTCCTCCTTCTTACGCGAGGCGCGAGGCGGGGCCGGGGGCGGGGCCCGGAGAGTGGCTTAGTGGGGCGGGGCCGGGGGCGGGAGCGGGCCCGGAGAGCGGCCTGCGCGGGGCGGGGCCGGGGGCGTGGCCAGGAGAGCGGCCTGCGCGGCCCGAGAAGGTGGTAGCGGCCGAGGGGGTCGTGGCGTCTGGCGGGTGAGTGGGGCTGGTGGAGAGGTCCGGGGGGCTCGGGTCTCGCGGCTGGCGGTGAGCCGCGGTGGATTAGACGCCGCGGGCCGACTGGGTCGCGCGAGGTGGTGGGGCCCGACAGCCCGGGCGAGCAGGAATCGGGAGAAATGGCCTCCTCTGGATGCCGGCCGCACGCGCCCAGGGGTGTTATCTCCCGAGCGCGCTGCTGGGAGGACCAGGCTCACCCGCGCCCCTGTGGGGGCCGAGGGTCCAACCTTCCCGCCGGCAGAAACGAGGGTCTGCGGGAGCGGAACGCCGCTGTCCTGGGCGCCGCCGGTTGCCTTGTCTCCGGATGATAACGTGATTTCACTGACTGCATTGATTGACTTTGGGGACTGCAACTCTTAGAGAGAAAACGGGGTGCAGGGCATCTGAACCTCACCTCCTGTGGATGACCTAAGTTGTGTTGCATCCCAACTTCTGTTATCCCCTGATGAGTAGAATTTTGATTTCAGGCCCACCTTTCGGAAAATTTTTCCAGAAGAGAATACTTTGCCCATTTAAAGCCCTTTAGTCAGTATTTTCTCGCCCCTTGGGAGTGAGTGCTCTAGAGGGCTTTTCTTCTTTTCTTCAAGTTATCTTTCAAAATGCTTCTAGAAGACTTAAACGATGCAATAGGAGCGTTTAAAAAACGTTTTGGTTTTTTTTTAATTTAAAAACTTTATTTTCTTAGGTGAAAAGTACTAATATTCAGTAAGAACATTTCAACTTTAAAACTTTAAATTTTCTTTATTTTGTTTACTAATCATTTATCAGAATGAAACATAACTTATGAATACTTGAATGTAATATCACCTGTGGTTAACAGTGTGTTCTATATTCGTGCATTTCAGCATCAAAATTAGAAAAAATAACTAAGAATGGCTGTGGAGGAACTTCAGTCTATAATAAAGAGATGTGTAAGTATTTTTTTCTTTTTGTAAAATTAAATACTTTCCAAAATACGAAAATGACTCAGATTAATTTTTAATTATATTTGTGGGAACTCAAATTGTGCATCTTCTTTAATCCCTGCTTGTTTTGACCTGAAACTAGCATGAGGGCAGGAAGGCAGATCAGATTATTTCTCCAGGTGACACACTTGTCTAAATAACATTTTAAATTTATTATTCTGATCCTTTTCATAGGTTTCTTTTGTATATTAGACTTCAAGATCATTCATTAATTTATTAGGATAGTCCTAATTGTCATAGATGTGTTTATGCTAAATTTTTCTGGAATGTACACATTTCCTTTTTTTTAGTGAGATAAGATAAATCAAAAAGTTATTGTATTTCATTTTTATTTGCATACTTTTTTTTTTGCCAGCAAATCCTAGAAGAGCAAGACTTTAAAGAAGAAGATTTTGGTCTATTTCAGTTAGCTGGCCAAAGATGCATAGAAGAAGGGCACATCAACCAGCTATTAGAAATTATTCAAAATGAAAAGAATAAGGTAAGTACAGTCTTGGTGTTCACTTTTCAGTCTTTACTAAGAAAGAGTATAATCACATGATACTGTTCATCCATTCCTTTATCCATCAGACATTTAAGAATTAACTTAAATTTTCACAGTAGTAAACTGGAAAACAAGAAGGCAATTGGGACTATTCATATACTTGAAGGTGCTTATAGTCTGGTAGAAGAGATAAATATGTAAACAACTAACAATACGAAGGCAGAATAAATGAAATAAATGCTGTAGTTGAAGGAAAGGGCTTTAGAAGGAACAGGACTACTTCTGGTTTAGGGGATCAAAAAGTGGCATTTGAAGCATTAGTTTATATTGAGAAGTATTGGGGGACTAGATAATCATTTTTGGTGATCAGCCCATTCTTCTCCAGCCAAATGGGTATGGAAAACCAAATTTTAAGTAAAACGGTATTTTATGTGCATACAACCAGAATAGGGGGAGAGCTGAATATCCTTATTAGCCAGTATCATCTAGTTACAGTAGTCAATCATTCTGTACAATAGGAAAGGATCTTGTTTGTGGATAAGGACCAACTTTTTTCTGGGATGCAGTGTTGGCAAGACACTGCCAAATTTTGTGTTGTTGGGCTCCCCTCATGAGTATAAGGAAGGCCATCTTTCTAGGGACATGCTCTTTCTTCAATTATAGTGCTAATTATTTATATAAAAGTTTTCTTGGTATCACAGTGTAGTCATGCTGGCCTATTTTTCTGTCCAGGGCACCTTGATTGGATTCGGGGGATTCTTGAATCTTTAATTGCACGTTGTTAAATTTTCACAGTAGTAAACTGGAAAACAAAAAAGGAATTAGGAATATTCTTATACTTGAAGATGCTTACAGTCTGGAGGAGAGAGAAACGTGTTAACAACCCACAATAAGGCAGAATAAATGAAATGCTACATTTGAAGTAAAGAGCTTTAGAAGGAGCAGAACTAAGACTTATCTTAGTCAATAAGTTCAAATGACTTATTTCTTTTTCATTAGAAAAATCAGAACATTTTGCTTAATTTTATTTTTGATATGTGTTTATGATACTTTATAGCCCCCAAGATAGTGCATTTTATGTTTTCTTTAACTCTTGTTTTTTTCCAATTGCATTCTTCAAGGATAACCTTTGAGAATACTTAGCTTTTAGCTAATAATAATACAATTCATGTATTGAGTATTTACTATGTGCCAGATGCTGTCTTGAGTGCTTTACATCTATTAACTTAATTAACCTCTTCAGAGTCTCGTAAGGTAGGTCCTGCCATTAAATTCATTTTGATTGAAAAGTTTTAAATGACTTGCCCCAAAATAACTCGGTTTTTATGTGGCATCTGGATTCAGACTTGTATAGCATGGTTTCGGAGAGCTCTTAACCTCTCTACTTTACCTCGGGTTGGCACTGTGTAGCACTTGCAAGGAAGTTTTAGGGTAGAATGGAGGAGACTGCGGAGGTGAGAGAGGGTAAGGCATCAAAGATTATTGGGTTTCTGGCCTCTGAAAGGATAAGATACGATATCCTAAACAGAAAAAGGCAGTCTAAGCAAAGAAGAAAGTTTCCTGAAGGCAGACAAGTGGATTGACTTCTAGAAATTTTGAGTTTAAGATGCAGCAGGCAATTGCAGATTTTGAGTTCAGTAGATATATAGGAGATTAAGATGTTGATCTATCCATGACTACTAAAAATTAGGTAATTGAAGCATTGAGAGGGAAAAACAAAGAGAATTTGCCTGAGTTCATAGTAAAGGGGACAGAAGGGAAGAGGCCCAAGATCCCATCTTGAGGAATTTAAGGAACAAGTAGGGAAAAAGCGGCCTGCCAAAGAGATGAGGGTCAGCACCACATCAGTGAGGCAGAAGGAAAGGGAAATGTAATCAAGTTGTTTGTCAGGCATTGCATGCCTGAGTGTTTTATTTTTAGCATACTTCCAAATGCTAATAGGATAGATTTAAGCATAGTGAGACTTAGTCTTAAAAGCTTAAGAATCACTTTTGTGGTGTGTGGTTGACTGAATGCAAAGGTTTAGATTTTGACAAGATGATGTTCCAAACTGACTACAATTTAATTTTCTTGCCAGGTGACAGTATTGAGATTGATAAAGATTTACTATTATCTTTATAAGAGCAAATTAAAGAAAAAAATTTTATTTATTATTATTTTTTGAGTTGGAGTCTCATTCTTATTGCGCAGGCTGGAGTATAGTGACACGATCATGGCTCACTGCAGCCTGACCTGCGGTACTCAGGCAATCCTTCTGCCTCAGCCTCCTAGGTAGCTGAGACTACAGGTGCATGCCACCACACCTGGCTAATGTGTTTATCATTTTTTTGTAGAGATGAGCTCTCACCATGTTGCTCAGGCTGGTCTTGAACTCTTGGTCTCAAGTGATTCTCCTGTCTCAGCCTCCCAAGTGCTGGGATTACAGGTGTGAGCCACCGCACCGGCCAAAAATTTTTTAATAAAAAAGACTTACTATTAATCTGCTTCGTGAGAGAGAAAGACCACATTCATATAACTTTTATTAGAGTATTTTTATAATTGTTCTCTGATATTACTTGTCATTATTAATCTCTTTATAAATTAAACTTTGTCATAGGTATATATGTGTAGAAAAAAGCATAGGGTTTAGTACTGTTCACAGTTTAGGTATCCACTGGGGGTCTTGGAACATACCCCTACAGATAAGGGGGTCTACTATACTCTTTCCACTACCTTTATTATTTTATAAGGCTTGAGTCAGGATGAGGTAGTATAGGTGTCATTTTGTCTTTTTTCTAAGTCTGCTTTTTAAAGAATGAGCCTAGAATGTAAACTCCATGAGGATAGAGCTCTTATCTGATGTGTTCTTATCTGTGTGCCTTACTATTCTAGCACCTAGAATATTACCTAGCATATGCTTAAAAATACTGATGAGTAAAAGTACTAAGCAGGCCAGAGAAGTGGAGTACATTGTTGATACTTTTCAAAATCAGTGGTTTTGACAATGAATGGGAAGCACTAATTATAAACGTTTACTTGTGGTAAGCATGCTGAAATATCTTTGAAAATAGGAGCAACTTGTATGTAGGAAAGAAAATTATTGAAGTTGCATCCTTTTATGTAAATTAGACAGTGAGGAACTTTAAAAGGTGCATGAGCATTGGCTAGATTTCTTTAGGAACCAGAGGAGCAAAATTCTCTGTGGAAGCTAAGTACTTACTCATATTAAGCAAGTTAGCTCTCTTGTTGGAAACTATTAAAAGAGGAACTATTTAAATCCTGGGAAAGACCAACTTACCTGATAAAAGTGAAGACCCTTGTGCTTTTCCTGAGTGAATATTAAAAACCATTTAAAAATGTTGATATCTGTTCGCAGCCAACCCTAGAAAGTCTGGGGTGAAATGTCATAGGCCTCCTGTGTCTTGTCTTCCTATTTCAGAGAAAATTCTACACTCTTCCAAGTAGGAAAGCACACTGTGAGAGTCCTGTAGATGGCAATGTTTGCTTTACTCTGAAAATATTTTACAGGTCATCATCAAGAATATGGGTTGGAATCTTGTTGGTCCTGTTGTTCGACACCTTTTATGTAATGATAAAGAAGATGATAAAAGAAAAGTTTATTCTTTGATGCTTGATTTATTGGTAGAGGTAAGTTAACAAAGCTAGTTCTCTTTGTCATAACAGACAGCCATATAATTCCCCTTAATATTTATTGTTTGGTAAGAAAGCTTTTAGTTCATGAAAAGGCATGTAGAAAGGAACTCTTTGGATAAAAGACCCAGTGTTATTGACAGGATGGCAATTTTGTTTCAACATTTCCCAAATTTTCTGTATATGAGAATGATCTAACCTCATGTAGGACCTACTGATTCATAATTTCCAGGGAGAGACCTGAGAAGCTAAATTTAACAAGCAGCTTTATTGTATAGGTGTGAAATTCATAGTTTAGAAAGGTAGTTCAAGGCCACACTGATCTTTTGACAACACTGGAACTAGAATTAAATCTCCATGCCTTCCTCTGTAGTAGTTTCCCTAAAAGGGGAAAAACAAAAAACCAAAACTGGATCAGTGGGAGTAGGAATAGGGGATAGAGTTGTAACTGACAACCTTAGAAAAAGACCCTTGTATAAAGTTAGGTAGAGTTAAAAATCAACATAGTGACCGGGCTTGGTGGCTCAGCCTATAATCCCAGCACTTTGGGAGGCTGAGGCGAATGGATTGCCCGAGCCCGCAGGTTCAAGACCAGCCCAGGCAACTTGATGAGACCTTGGCTCTACAACAAATCAAAAATTAGCTGGGCGTGGTAGTGCGCACCTGTAGTCCTGGCTACTTGGAAGGCGAGCAGAAGGATCATTGGCACCCAGCAGGTCGGCTCTGGGGTGGCTGTGAGAGTGCCAGTGCACTCCAGCTTGGGTGACAGAGTGAGACTCCAACTCAAAAAAAAAAAAGTCAATATAGTAACTAAGAAAGATAAATTCTGAGAAAAAGGACATTATAAGAAACGACTTGGAGATCAGTGTAAATATACACAATATATACTTGGAAAGAGAGAGCTCCATCTAGATAGGTTATTGATTATGAGGGCTTTTTTTTTTTTTTTTTTTT